GGATGTGGCCTCTGCGGGATGCAGCTGTCTTCAGCCTAGGCAATCTCTCCAAGAGGCCTGACAGCTGAGTCAACAGCCAAACTCCCTGAGCCCAATTGGAGCTCTAGATAGAAAATCACACTCCCTACTCCAATACTTATCTATAGCTCAGAAATAAATTATTTGAAATGTTTACAACAGAACGTTACTTCCACTTATTTCCAGCCTATGCCAACTCTAGATAGTCAGTTCCTTAATTGCATCAATCAATTCAAATTCACATTCTGTAGTTGCTGGACACATAAACAGAAGGCAAAACACAAGGAGACAGACAAGTGGGAAATGAGTTCTATTCCTCATTTTCAGGAACAAGCAACGAATATCCATAAGTGAAGATCTGAGGGATTCTGTTTGTGTTTGTGGATGCAGCTATATACCCTATACCCTTAATATCTTCCACACTCTTCTGCAATCCAGAAAAATGTTTGGAATTCCTGAAAAGGGCAGCAAGCAGGCCAAGGACCAAGAAATCACCATCACTCTTGGCATAGGAAGTACTGGGCACTTCTGTGGACAGCCATGGCAGCAAATATAACAATAATACAGCTCTATTTACCACCTATGAAAGACCTTTGGCAGGTTTTAGATGTTGTGTTAGATGCTATAACCAGAGCGTTTCCACACCCAGCTCTGAAATTTGAATACTGATTCCTGAGCATTGGTAGAAGCAACTGTCTACACAGAGCCGCCATATTGTGATACAGACAGTAAAAAGATTGATGTTTACTATAGCCATTTCTAAACCACATATATTCCTTGCTTTTTTAATGGCTAATTTGTTTTTAATGATATTTTACATGTTTAAGACTAATTTATAATGTTTTTAAGATAGGATAGTATTGTACCTACCATAGAATTCACAGTTCAATAGATGTTAGTTATCATGTTCCGCTCACATCAACAGTCCAATGAAATTTTAAACTAATTAATAAATTGTAGGTAGATACAATCCCTATCTTTTGATAACACTGAGGTTTGAATTCAGGTCCTTGTGCCAGCTAGCCAAATGCTCTACCCTTTGAGTCATACCTCCAGCTTCAATCAGCATTTCTAAATAATCAAAGATAAAAATATCACGGGCAAAGAAACATTTAAGTTTGCACCAGACATGAAAAGCAATTTGACTTTCTTTGTAGTTGACATTCTAGAGACCTCTGAACTTTAGGTGAATTATGTGAACTTTATGAAACAAAGATGCTTGAATATCCTTAATCTTATGGTTAGTCATTGCTGGTCAAATTATTATTTTATTTATGAATTTATGTCTTTGTTTTTATGTATTTGGTGGGTTTGGAGAAGTTCATTTTCTTAAGAGAACTTTTTTCCATTCTTGTTCAACATTAACTATAAACTCAAGTGATAAGGCAAAATGATGATAGTAAAAACATTCACTATACAACATGCTAAGGAAATACATTTTCTAATTTTTTTATTGTTGTTATAAAGATTATGTACAGAGAGGTTACCGTTACATAAGACAGATAAAGCATACATTTCTTTTGGGATAATGTCACCCCTCCCCTCACTCTCGTGTTTTTCCCTCCCATCCCCTACCCACAAGTTCTTTAGTTCATTTTCATAGTGTCTAGTGAGTACCACAGTTGCATTTGTTCACCTTTTGTCCCTCCATTTCTGTGCCTCTCTTTACATTCCCAAAGACATATAAATGAACCAAAAAGACAAAAACAGCAACAAAGAAAATAAAAGCCTCTTGTTTTCATTTCCTGGAATTCATTTTGATAACTATTTTGCATAATAAGATGCACATAGGCATTTTGCCTTTTTGTTCCTTTCCTAATAGTATCTCCTTCAGCCAACTGTGTCCGAGTATTTTAGATGTAACCTCCATATATGAGAGAATACATATGCTGTTTGTCTCTCTGATCGTGAAGGATGTACTTTTTTAATGAAATAAAATTATCGATCAAGCTACAGCATTCATTTGAGGCACGTACCATACTGGGCCTACACAGCTTACATCTTCTCAGGGACGTAGATGAGAAACTTCTCTACTGAAATAGATGGCTTGGAGAAGGTACACCCCAAACTTTAAAAGGTACATGCCATTAAATTAAGGTATTTAATGATATTGGTTATCTCCTACTAATGGTACTGTTATTGGCTAATTCCTATTTCTGTTCATCATCACCATTGTATGATATGACCAGACATCCAGTATTGTACAGAGCCTCCTAAAATGTGTATGTCCCATCTAGTTCTATCAGCCAGCTTGTTCTTTAAAATTTCTGCCTCTTACATATTTCTTTCCTCTTTCAGACATACGCTTCTTATTTTCCTCTCTTCTCTCCAGTTTCCTCTATTATTCTTCTTTTCTCCTCACCTTTTTTTGGTCAGTTGTAGGGCTCTAAGTCAGAGCCTGGGTGCTGTCCCTGAGCCTCTTTGTGCTCAAGGCTAGTGTTCTACCACTTAAGCCACCGCTCCACTTCCGGTTTTTGAGTGGTTATTTGAGATAAGAGTCTCACCAGGACTTTTCTGCCCAGGCTGGCTTCAAACAGTGAGCCTCAGATCTCAGCCCCCTGAGTAGCTAGGATTACAGGCGTGAGCCACCAGCACTCAGCTCTTCTCACCTTCTGTTAAGTCTTAAATGTTTTGAAAAACCCCTACAGAAAATTTTATTATAACTGAGAGGCCTCCTCTGGATACCTTCATGCTCAATCCTCCCACTGCCATTCTCTCTCCTTCTTCCCTTCTTCATCCTTAGCTTTAAGTGCTGACCTACTCTTGACCTGACTTATCAGTATCTGGCTACTTCAATAATGAAAATCACTATTAGCTACTGTCTACACTAGCAGCCCACTTGCAGACAAAGAGGAAAAAGGTCGTGATAAGGAAGATGGTTCTGGTTTTCAATAAGTGGAAACATAGCCTAACAAAGCCAGACTATCTTGTTACATGTAAAAACCACATTCAAAAGCATCTCTTGCATTCCAAGTACATTTCAAGAGCGAAGGAACTACCACTTCATTCTATCATGCTGTTGATCTAATTTACTAAGAATCACACTGACGCCACTTACAAATTCTGCCAATCACCAAACCAAGTCATTCAACCTTTCTGGACCAACTAAAAGATTTGGGATCTGAGGATTTGAAGCTATTCTTCAGGTATTGGATTTTATGATTCAAAAATTCAAAGAAATCAAAGGACACAGAAGAGTCTTGAATTTAGTAAGATGTAGAAAACACACACATACTGTGGTAGTATAAATTATGTTTATGGAACAAATGTCAATTACTGGCAAACCTACACATTTATTCTCACCTTTTAGATTCATCCGCATATTATCTATGTACTCTAGTGACTTGTGCTTCAACATAAGATATTGTCTGATTGATTCATAATAAACATTCTAATGAAATGTTGAATAAGACCCATTCTAATAAGACCCTTTCCCTTAGCATCATCTTCACATATACAGCCTATAAAACTATCTATTTTAATGTGAGGTACTATTTCAAAGATCTAAAAACAGGACAGTTGAATAAAATGGGGTTTTGGGGGGTTTTTTGGGGGGGGTCCGGTCGTGGGGCCTGAACTCTGGGCCTTGGCACTGTCCCTCAGCTCTTCAGCTCAAGGCTAGCGCTCTACCACTTGAGCCAAAGTGCCACTTCTGGCTTTTTTCTTTTTGCTTATGTGGTGCTGAGAAATTGAACCCAGGTCCTCATGCATGCAAAGCAAGTGCTCTACCACTGAGCCACCTTCCCAGCCCCGAATAAAATGTTTTATGTTAAATTTAGGGGTTTGGCTGAAAAAGATGAAAAAATTTAAATACTATTATCATTGCTATCATTTGGTAGAACTATACTATACTGTACTGTACTGTATTATACTATACTATACTACTATAATCTTTGCTATCATTTGGTAGAACTTTTAGAACTTATACTGACCTTAACCTACACTACAATTTCTTGGTCTGAACTCTAAGGATGAAAGTCCATTTCTGTGCATTGGAGAAGTTATCAGTTTCTGAAAATTAGTCAAAATATAATGGATTAGGAAGAGTGATTCATTATTTGGTGGTGAAGATAAAGTAATTCCAATAGAAGGTGTTTTGAACCAAAAACATTTAAGAGACATTGCTTTCTCCTTTACCTCCTTATTTCAGTGATAAAGGTTGCCAAGGTCAGAAATGGCAAGGGAGTTGCTGGGGACCACAGCTCATTAGCAGCTGAGCCAGAAATAGAACTCACATCTGCAGTGGGACCATCAATCTAGCTCCCTCTTCTGCTTGGAATAGATAGATTATATTCATCCTAAAAAATGGTATCTAGTCCTGTTAACCTCAAAAAATAAATAAATAAAGGGGAGAAGTATTGAGGTCATGGAATGAAGATCTAAGGGGAAAATGTCATGGAGTCACGTAGTGAAGATCAAAACTTAACCTAAGCCCTGGAGTCAAGCAGGGGATTTTCTTTTAGCAGAGCCAACAATTTTACAATGGACATTTCTTCTTACTATTCAATTTCCTACTGCTCCTCATGAATTGTTTTTCCAGCTCTCTTTCTAAAGCTTTACACTGTCTTGAGTCTATCTCCCTTTGTACCTCACAGCAAGCTTTCTTCCCTGACTTGAGAATGCATTTTTTTACTGCATTTCCCCTATATTCAGGCTTCTTTTTTCTTTCATTTCACACAAAATCTCTGGCTGTGGTATGTACCCTTGAGTGTACCTCCATGCTTCTGTTCCTATGTGCACCAGGCATTGCTACGACCCTTCTCTGACCCTAAGAACCAAGCAGTCCAGAGCACACATGCTGTGGAACACACAATAGAAAAATACCAGACAGGAAAACCAACTGATGTTGTTTTTTCCTAATTTTCTAGGCGATAAAATTGCTCCTAGGGAACATGTTGAAGCAAAACTAAGCAGCAGGCGATAGCAAAGACTTGTTTTCAAGCTCCTTACCACTGTTTCTCACTCTGTAAAAATTTTTCCAGTTGGCTCATGTGTTACCCACAGAAGAGAATTTCCTGCTGCTCTTCCGATGCCAGCAGCTGAAGTCCTGCGAGGAATTCATGAAGGTAGTAGAGAAGTGTCACTTTAAGAAAGCTAGTGGAAGTAGGAAATTAGTTGGCTTTTTAAAGATTTTGTTTTCCTTTTCCAAATTACTTACAGACTTGGAGAAAATATGACACTGATCACAGTGGCTTCATAGAAACTGAGGAGCTTAAGGTAAGGAAATGAAAATATATACTAAGTTTTTTTTCTTTCCCTTGAAATGCAATTATGAACTCTAAGGGCTTCACTGCTTTAAAAAAAATACCTCCCACAAAAGAAACTAATGTTGAGCAATGGCACATTTTCACCCACTCTTTCACATCATTAATGAAATAGCAGACCGAAAAAGAAACTCCAAGTACTTCTTGAAATTCTGTTCAGCAAAGTGAGAAATTAGCATTTTCTGTATTATATACAAAATGTTATATAAGATACATGATAGAAAGATAGATGTTAGACAGACAGACAGACAGATAGATGAGAATAAATGTTAGTGAGACAGATTGATAGATGATAAATGATAGATCAATAGCTGGAAGGTGGTAGATAGATGGATAGATAAATGAAAGATGTGGCAGATGGATAGACAAGACAGATAGATATGATACAATCTCAGTAAGCCACCTTTTTTCATTGAAATTTGAAATCTTATTTTATACATTAAACATATATCATTTCTCTTCCAAAAGAGAAACAAAAACTTGGGGATTTCTAATGTTTACCAAGTACTTTATCTACATTGTGTAATCTTTGCATGATCTCCATGAGATTACTATTAAGTCCAGTAACAAAAGTGTTAAGAGAAGTTAAGTGATCTAGTAAAGGCTGCACAAGACATTCCATAGTCTCTGCTACCACTCAGCAACATTAAGGAAATCCTATTTCAGCAACATCAACGAAATCCTAATAGGATTAAATGTTGAAACACCACAATGCTGAAAACAAATTTATCAATTCACATCTCAGAGGTACTGAGGAGGAGGTGTGGGAAGATGAGGATATAAAGGAAAAGAGATCTAAAATGAAGTTTTAACCTCAGTGCAAATGTCTACATCAGTCTTTTCTCATCTTTAGAAGGGGAACAATAATACCCTCCTCTCAGAGGTATTATGAGCCCTAAGTAAGTGTATATGAAAGTTTAGTGAAATGCAAAGCATAATCATACTATACATGAACTCAATCCATTAGCCTTTTCAGAAACATGAATCTATCTTTAATCTCCATTCCTCAAACCAACGTTAAGATATCTCAGTCCAAAAGATGTTATTTCCTATAGATCAAAACATAAAATGACTAAAAAGGGAGCAAGTTAGTTTTATTGAGCATCTGAATATGTGTAGTTCTATGTACTTGAAGTATTTCCTTTTAACATCTAAACTTCATAGAAAACTTGCAAGGCAGTTTTTATCATTCCAAGTTTACAGAGACTGAAGTTCAGTGTGATTGAATAATGTTTTCAAGATTACACAGCTGCCTAGGAAAGAGGACCTAGGTTTAGACTAGAATATGTGATAAAGTTAAAAAGAATACCACTTTAAAAATAAAGCTGTACATTTGCACAACTTGCAAACATGTAAAACACTCAACTGCACCATTGCAAACTTGAAAAACATTCAACTGCAGTCTTTGGAAAGTAAATATTTTTAATACGAAGTGAACCAAACCAATGTCTCTCACATCCATGCAGCTCTGCAAACAGAGAATGCGAGGTGACAGTGGCACTATTATGCTTCTTTTATTATCAAACCAAAAAATTCCTTTAAAAATCATCTCAGTTTATAATGAAACCCTCAGCTCATTTCCAACAGTGACCTCAAAATATTCTAAGTCTCCTCCTTTGTTCTAAATTTTCTTCTCAGAAAGAGATTCTAAATAGAAGCCTTCCTCCCTGGGGAATTTTGAAGATAAGTTGGCATTCTTTTTTAATGGATCTTTCAAGAAAGCTAATTTTAAGATCCATAATAGAGTAAAACATTGCTCACTTGCTCTCAGACATGACTTTGAATCTTAGCATCCCAAGGTTTTTCCTAGGCTATTTTTGTGACCACCATTTTAGTCTCTGATGAGGCTTTTTAACCCAATTAATCTCTGACAAAAGACTCAGAAGGCTCAAAAATAAAACTCACCCTCACTAGATAGTTTTGAATTTTCCATGCTTCACTTTGGATTTGAAGAATATTATTTGAAGTGAAAAACAAATTTATCAAACCAAGAATGTCACCTTTCTTGAAAAGAGGGATGTCAAATCAGCCAAGCGGAAGTACTCAAAGAAACTCAATCCTTCAGGAGTATGTGGGGACAGAATCTACTCATTTGTCATAATTGCATTCATTTATTTTCTGAGAAAATAAAAAGAATTACAAATGAACAGTACTGGTCAAAATGAAAGACTATGAGATACTTAACTCTTTCCATTGTCATTTATATGTCATGCCTTTGCAAAATAAACTTCAATATATGTCTGCCTAAAAAAATTAAACTCACTTCAGGCTCCAACTGTCAAGTTAATAATCATCTTTTCTCATCCTTCCCACATTAATCTTAATTTTAATATGATTCATATATCCTTCAAAGATTCGATGCCATTATCTGTGGCCAACTGTTGTAGTTGGTACTGTTCGCTGAAGCATTTTAAATGATGCTATTTAGACTATGTCAAACCTAAAAGCTAACCACCTGGCCCTTTAGAGAAACAGGCTTCACACTAGCTATAAACTGATATGTAAATACAGCCCACGGGAACATAAAATGCATTTGAAATTGGAGGTAGCTCTCCATCTGGTTTGCTGATAATTTTTCACACATGTTACAGAGCCCTGTGTTTCTTACAGAAGAGTCACATGAGTTCTTTTGGAAATATCACATAAGTAGAAAGGATTCCATTGAGCTGGTTGCTTTTAAAGTTTGAATTGCAATCTCTACACAATACAGATCCTCTTTTCATTGAAATCCTAAAAGCATCAGATAGCTAAGATTATGACAGATCCTATCTCAGTAAAAAGCAGATATTATACTTGTCACAGGCATTTTATTACTGAAATGCCACACAGATCATGTTTCCATCTTGCTTCTGTGATCCTCTCCTCACCTGGCTCTACCCTCAAAAATAGGCTTCCTTTGCATTCCTGTATGTTCTGTTTTCAAGACATGTGGAACCAGAAGCAGACTGCACACTATTGATGAAATTTATCTGAGTGTTCTTTGTTTTAACAGAACTTTCTAAAGGACCTGCTAGAAAAAGCAAACAAGACTGTTGATGACACAAAACTAGCTGAGTACACAGACCTAATGGTAAGAATGATCTTGAAAAGAGTTAGCCAAGAGCTCATGAAATTCCACTATGCTGTTGCTGAAGGCCACATAGGATGAAATGTACCAACAACCATGGTGGCAATGTTACATGCACATAACTATCATTTCACTTAGAAAATTGAAATCATGAATTGTGATTATATCTTGTCACATTGAGTGGTATAGGCATTAGCTTTATCGTACAAACATATGCACACCTCTTTCCTTGTAATGCTACATAATTAAGACATTGTTACCTCTTAAAAGATTGTTTTATTTTTCTCACAAAACAAATGTAATTCTTTCAGTAAATTATATAGCTTATATTAATCATATATTGTAAGTTATACGATCCCAAACTCATTATACAGGTTCTGAATCTACTTTTATCACTGCTTTGGAAATTACATCCTTCTTTAGAGTTAAAGAAAACTTGTATTGACTTTATTCATTCAGTCACTTAAAATGAGCTGCTTTTCTTTTGTATTCTGTTGGTGTTATGGGTGAAAAAATTGAAATGCACCTTAAACAGGATTTTTGGTAAATATTACAACAAAGATCTATTATAAGTATAGATAAAAAGAGCCATGAAAGTTCTTTAAACATAGACTCCTAATGTTTCAGAAACAAATGTACAAATAAGTTTTAATGAGGCTCTTGAATTTGGCCAACTTTCATGTAGTCACTTTTTCTGAAAAGGGTGAGGTTTGCTCATTTTTAATTCATAAGACTAGGACTTGCAAGAGGTACATGTTTTTACAAATGCTATAAATACTCAGGAATAAATGGCCCAAAAATATAGATGTTTATTATCACATCTGCTGTGCTACAATAGATTGATAAAGAAGTTAAATCTTAGGTAGTCTGAGAAATAATCCTATAAAGAGCTGGGGTGTGTTGATGTAGCTTGTTTTATCTTCAGCCCATCAGCCTAACTTAATTCCAGAAAAACAAATACAAAACCCTGGAACTTTACAGCCATGTTCATCAAACAGTGATATTTATGATAAAGCAGGACTTGTCTTTAATTTTAAAACCACCAAAAGAGTTTCTTTCCCTAGTTCTCTTTAATTCCACATTATACCTCCAGGTGTAATAGTGCTAACAAATACACAATCGACTTTTGGTTACATGTCACAATGCATGAATCTAAACTCTGAATCTTTTGTGGTGTGGGGGCGGGGGGGGGCAAATGGGGATGAACAATAACCTACATTTATCAGTTTTCTATTTTGTCTCGATCTTAAGGGATATCTATTTAAAGTAAAGTCTCCTTTCCACGTAGAAATTTGAAGCAGCCTTTAAAAACCACTCAGATCGGAGTTTCCCCTGTTGAATTGGCCCAGAAGATCTGATTAAATGTCATAAACCAGTTCAAATTCAAGAAGCAAATTAATCAAGAACTAATTAAAATTTAAATATATAGATGAGACAACATTTCCCCATGGGCACTACACTGTGTGCTCTAGTTGTCCACTGTATCAGTAGACAGTGTGACCACTGCCACTGAATTTATGGTCAATGGATTACAAAATGCTGTGTCACTATAGGACATTGGGAAAAATTCTGCTTTCAACAAAGAACATTTAGAACATCTCAAACCATTGAATGTCTTCTGTTTCCTCTTCAAAAAGATCTCACGGACCTATATTCATTATAGCTGTATCACATTCTTTTCTTCATAAATACAAACAATGCTACATTTTTACATATTTCATATATGCTACTTCTGTATGACATAGTATAGCATTAGTGGCTACTTTCTAAATTTGTGAATGCTTCACAAATATAAGTTTGAGTGTGTTTATGTCTTGATGCATCTCAATGTAAGGTATATGTATAGTACAGTGAGTATCTAGTATTCAATGGAAAATAAATTCAAAATTACTCAGCAATACTATTTTCTCTACAGAGTTTATGTTATTTGCATATTGCTTAGTTTACTTTTTGTGCTTTAAAAGAGTAAAACGACTGGAGGTGTAGCCCAGTGGTGGAGTGCTGGTCTAGCATGTGCAAGAGCTTGGAATTCCAGTACTACAAAGGAAAGATAGAGAGGTGAAGCACAAGAAAAGAAAGACAGATAAGTGAACAGTGGTTTTCAAATTACTGTTTGAAGAGTTTAAGGAAATACCATTTACTACCAGGTATTATTCTTCTCATGATCTGATGTACATACAAATGTACAGTTTGCAAAATAAGTAAATCATAATGTTCTAGAAGTCTAGTTAAGAACATTACAACATTATCTGTTTAGTAATTCTATAGTCTCATCAGCTTCAGCAATTGACACAAATTATAGAATTGAAAGTTTACATTAAAAGTGCTCACATCAAAAATTCTAGAAATATGGGCTGGGAAGGTGGCTCAGTGGTAGAGCGCTTGCCTTCCATGCATGAGGCCCTGGATTCGATTCCTCAGCACCACATAAGCAAAAAGAAAAAAGCCGGAAGTGGCACTGTGGCTCAAGTTGTAGAGCGCTAGCCTTGAGCTGAAGAGCTGAGAGACAGCGCCCAGGCCCAGAGTTCAGGAACTATGACTGGACCCAAAAATAAAAATAAAAAATAAAAAAATTTCTAGAAATACTAGTTGTGCAGGATGTAGAGATCAGGAAGCAAAGACTAGGGGAATCCCAATGACAGGCCGACCCAGGAAAAAGTGAATTAGACTTCGTTTCATCCAATAAGCTGGACATGGTGATATGGTCCTATGGACCCAGTTCTGTGGTGTTCAGGTATGTGGATCCTGGTCAAAGGGCAACCTTGGGTAAAAACATGAGTCCCTACCTGAAAAATAACTAAACCAAGAAAAGAAGAGGGTCCTGGCCCCTGTGCTCAAGCATCTGCCAGAAACTCAAGGACCTCAGTTCAAACTCCAGTCCCCCACCCCACCCCCCACACACAAATAAAGAAAAAAATATTAGTTTCTAAAATTGTATTATTTACATAAGAATTTGGTAACTCAAGCTGCTTAATTTTATATGCTGTCTCCTTCACACATTATGACTCAATAGCTAGAATAACAATGCTCTTTCTTTCAGCTAAAGCTGTTTGATTCAAACAATGATGGGAAGTTGGAGCTGACTGAGATGGCCAGGTGAGTTTGGGGATTCTGGAAGTGTCAGGATAAGATGGCCTTTGTCCCAAAATCTAACTTGACAATACAATATTCTGTTTTTAAAGGTTACTACCAGTGCAAGAGAATTTTCTTCTTAAATTTCAGGTATTTAGCTTTTTTCTCTACAGTAAATATTAGTTTCCTTAAATAGAATATAGGAGACTTATCAATAGAAATACACTAAAATATAATAATAGTATTTTAACTTTTGTTCTCTTCTCTGTCTCCTAGGGAATAAAAATGTGTGGAAAAGAGTTCAACAAGGCCTTTGAGTTATATGATCAGGTAAATCATTATTTTTGCTTTCTTTCTGATTTCTTCTCCCTTGTGAGTGGTGACACAACCCCTAGCATGAAGTTTATGCTTTCAATGTTTTAAATTAAAATATAGTATTGTTAACTATAGAAACAATCTTTAGAACCTATTTCTCATGTATAATTGATAATTGGGCATAAAATCTCTCCCTTCTGTGACAACAACCATTCTACTCTGTTTCCATGTTTCTATTTTGGAATTTTCACATAAATGGAAACATGAAGTATATATCCTCCTCTAACTAGCCTGCTTCCTTCAACATCATGTCCTCAAGGTTCATCGATGTTAACATACACTGCAGAATTTTCTTCTTTTTTTAGTGTGGAGTAACATTTCAGCAGGATAGATAGATAGACAGACAGACAGATAGATACATAGATAGATAGCTAGATACATACATACATACATACATCATGCATACATACATATACATACAGAGATAGAGATAGATATAGATGCTTATCTCCTTTATCCATTATCAATGGACATCTTTGGATGTTGACTTTTATATCCTTTGCTAAATTCAAGGTATTGAGTGAGAGTCACTTGCCCAATTTGCAACTGTAAAGTAGCTATAAACCCGGTGAAAGGTTAGAATTTCCACTAAGTATTCAGCTGGGAGATTTTTGTAAGTATTTCAACTCTTTCCATTGTACTTATTCCCCCACTGTGGATGCAGTTAGATGTAGACTGTTTTATTTCTCCTTCCTCAGGATGGCAATGGATACATAGATGAAAATGAACTGGATGCTTTACTGAAAGATCTCTGTGAGAAGAATAAACAGGTAATTTATTATGCCATTCATTTTCTAAGCAGTCTTTATGGAGGATCCATCCCCAAGAAACCACAAGTTCATTTTAGAAATTTACTTTAAAATTTTATAGAGCAGCAGTAGATCTTGTTTTTTTCTTTTTTATTGTTATTGTAAAGAAGATGTACATGGGGGTTACAGTTACTTAAGTCAGTTAATAAGTACATTTCTTTTTGAACAGTGTCACCTCTTCCATCATTTTCTCCCTGGTTTTCCCTCTCCCCACAAGTTGTATAGTTCATGTTCATACTATAGTGAGTATCACTGCCTCGATGGTTCATCCTTTGTCCCACCATTTCTATGTTCCCCCATACTCTCTCCAACACACATAACCTTACAAACAAGACAACAGATAGAGAAATCAAAAAGGAGAAAGCAACTAGGGAGAAAAAAAACCCTCTTGTTTCCATTTCTTTGAGTTCATTTCAATAAGCATCATTTTATATGATCATATGCACATAGCTATTAAGCCTTTGGGATCCTCTCCCAAGATTATCCTCCATTGTGTCTAGAGTTCTGTATAATTTATCATGTACAAGTGTATTTTTTGCCTTTTACTTGAAGATTTATAGACACCTTCTACTTACTACAAATGAGGAAAACCATGCAACCTATGTTTCTTTGGGTCTGGCTTACTTCACTTAATATAATTTTTTCCAAGTGGTATCATTTTTTTCTAATGGCAGCATAGATTTCCTGTGTGTGTGTGTGTGTGTGTGTGTGCGCGCGCACGCGCGCGTGCGTATATCAATCACATCTTCTTCATCTATTTGTCCACTGAAGGGCATCTGGGTTGACTCCATTCCTTTGCTATTGTAAACAGTGCTGCAAAGAACATGACTGTACTGGTTGCTTTGGTGTGGTGTCATTTGTGTTCTATTGGATAAATGCCCAGGAGTGGAATTGCTAGGTTATAGGGAAGCTCTATGTTTAGTCTTCGAGGAACTTAACAATAACAGGTGCTGGTGGGGATGTGGCCAAAAGGGAACGCTGCTATATTGTTAGGGAATGTCCAACCAGTCTGGAAAGTGGTATGGAGGTTCCTCCCTAGATTTTGATTTTTAGCTGTTTGGTTCTGACCTAAATCATTATCTATGTTATACAGGTATTTTTTTTTTTAATCTCACAATTGTTCACATTTGTATAATGCTTTAATCCAGCTTTTTTCCTAATATATTGATGTAACAGGCAGCTTGCATCTCACAATTTCTCACTGGATAATAATTGATGAATTCCATATTTAACTGGATTACAATGCCATCTATATTCTGTGCAGGATCTGGATATCAATAATATTACAACATACAAGAAGAATATAATGGCTTTGTCAGATGGAGGGAAGCTGTACCGAACAGACCTGGCTCTTATTCTCTCTACTGGAGACAACTAGAGTTGGTGACAACAACCACAAGCTAGTGATACATTGTATCTAAAATAAATAACTGTGCACTATAAAGGAGTAGGCTGTATTTTCTTTTATATCTGTAAATTTCACTGCATATAGATAATTATCCAGGATGTGTGGCATATTCTTTTCTGCTTGTTTCTATACTGTTTGTAATGTACAGTTTTTGTAACTATATGATTAAAAAGGAGAAAGCCTATGCTTAGACCAGTCAGTATACCCAATTAAATCTATATCTATATATTTGTTTCCATGCATACAGTTGGATGTTGATTTTTCCAAATATTTCATCAGAATTAATATTTAAAACTCTATACTCTGGTGTGTAAATGCACATTTGTCACTGAATAAGAGAATCATTATGATAAGCCAAGCTTTCTTAGACAATCATCTGACTATTCCATAAAATTTTACTAAGCTATTATTCACAGCTATTAGGAAAAATATACTTTTACATCTAAAACACCTAAGTATCAAGATATTAATAAAGAATCATTTGTGGTTTTCAGAAGTCAACAGTTTCCCCAGAGATTCAGTTTGCCAATCATTTGAATCACTATCAAATGATTGTCTCGAATTGATCTGAAAACAGGGGATGGCAGCACCAGATGACCCAAAAATCTGTCTGATTTGACATTGATATTTCCTACATGTCCACTGTCAGAAAATATGATGTTATTCAATTTTCTAAACTATTTCATGTGTTTCAAATTATAATTATTCTAGTAAATTGCTGTCTTGTGTCAAGTCTTGTGTGTAATCTCCAATTAAATTTATGATGCTGAGTATCCTAGTGTCTAGTTTGCATACTTCCTGGATTTTCTTTCTATGTAGAACTGTTCATTTCCACCATGGGTATCTTCCACCTCTGAAAATATTTTTTTCTAGCTATAACAACTCTATTTTTTACTACATAACTGAATTTTATGTAAGATTCATAGCATCTTGATGACTGAATGTTCTATCGCCAATACTTTTGTGTATTCTGTCGATTCTCTATTTCATACTGAGATCAGCAATCAAAATTGCTGTTTCTATTTGCAAATAGTTTCAAACGAGTTCATAGTAGCATCTGAAGAGAAACGCTAGCATAATTATTTATCTTATCTAGCCAGCGATTCCCAAACCTCCCTTGATCCATATCTAAGTGACAGTTTCACATATTTATAGCTAGAATATCCTATCCTGGTTGTAGTTGACTTGTAATGGTTGATGGTTTTAGATCTTTTGATTGTGAAGCAGGGAACAAGGACAGAAATGTCTGTAAAATGTATAGTTACTGCCAAAGAGTTAATTATGGTCCTACATCAGCTTCAAAGTTCTCATTTTACACATTTTTTCATTAATAAAAATAACAAAAAATGCGAGCTATCTCTTTCCCTCAAGAATGAACAGAAAAGAGATCTGCCAAAAATTAAAAAGTTATCAAATGATGGAATTAGTAGACTGGCTTTGCCTGTAGTGTGTAAATGGGAATACTGATATTATAACTATAAAGAACAAATAAAGAAGAAAATAATATCAATCTCTCTTATTTATTTCTTCTCAAAAAGATTAGCTGACATGTAATCCATAATCAAACAAGACAGAAATATAAGATGGTCAAATTATTATTGCCTGAAGAAAGAGACAAATGAAAACCTAGTGCTTCTAACACTATTATTGGGCAAGAAATATCAAAACATCCTAATGTTTGCTATAGTTGACCACATCAGCTGATAGATAGACAGATGACAGATATATATAACTATATATACATGAGAGTAGGAAGAACATACATATTTTCTTGTATTTCATCTATAGAAAAAAATGGTTGTTCATCACAACATCAAAACTCTACTAGGTTTGGGATTCTTAAAATAATGGTGGTATTTCTGAGGAGACTTCCTAGAGAGCTGATAGTAACAATGGTCACAAACCTCGCACTGTTGGAATTACCATAGTGGAATTAATCTCTTGAATAGTATCAGATTCAGAAGAAGAACTTTTCTCTTTCTGTCTCTTTCTAGCCTTCTTTCTGTGTCTCTTCCTCTCTGGCTCATCTGGTGGTATTGTTGCTTTTGAATTCAGGGCTCAGGATTGCTTGAAAGGCATTCTGCCACCTAAGCCTTCTGCCAATACTACATTTATTAGTTATTTATGTATTTGCTTTAGTTATTTTTCAAGTAATGTCTTGTGTTTATTTTGTCCAGGGCTAACCCCAGAATGCCTCCTATATGCCCTCTAATGTAGCTGGGATAAAAGTACATGCCACTATGTCTGACTTATTGGGTAGGATGGGGTGTTTTTGCCTGGGCTGGTCTCAAGCCACAATCCTCCTTCTGAGTAGACAGAATTACAGATATGAGCCACTATATATAGACTTCTCTAAGACCAAGAAATTCTTATACCTCAGCTATTTAGTAACCATTGTATGCATGTGACAATTCTAACTCTGTAGGGCAGAAAGCAGCATGAAAAATGGGGGGGGGGGGGGAGGAGTAAATCTAGAAAGGTAAATGAAAGATATCATCTATATCACACTATAAACAAAATGCATTCCTAGTTCCCAACTAAATATAAATGGTATGCAGATGTGGAAAAATTACCTAGCTTAATATTTCTTAATAAAATAGGAGAGATAGATGGAAAAATTGTACTCCATTGAAATAAGTGTCCCAAAAGATACTTTTAGGAGTGAAAAGTTAGACTCCTAGTGGCTCATCCTGTAATCTTAGCTATGCAGGAGGATCGTGGTTTGAGGCCAGCTCAGACACAGTTAGGAACACCTTATCTGAAAACAAACAAAAAAAAAAAAACTGGGCTTGGTGGCAAGTGCCTGTAATCTCAGCTATTCAGAAAGCAGATGTAAAATAGTAAGCAGGAGTAGATGCAGACAAAATTGTGAGACCCTATCTGAAAAATGGACTGGGCAAAAAAAGTAATAGCTTACTTACAAGTAATGGCTTACTTGCCTAGCAAGCACATGATTCTGTAAGTTCAAAACCCCTAATACCACCAGAGAGGAGGAAAGAAATCAAATTTCAGAATGGGAAAAGATATCTGATTGATAAAACTATATATCTAAAATACATAAACATTACTACTAAAAACAGAACCTATTTGATCAACTTGTAAGAAAGTAGAATTGACATTTCACAAAAAGAGGAAATCAAAATGTCTGATGAACTCACAAAAAGTCTTCGGCCTCAATATTTATCTAATGAAATGCAAGTTTTGAAAATGAGATTAGAAAGGATTAAAAAAAAGATTTGACTGCTAACCATGGGTTAAGATGTAGTATAGTGGACATTCTCACACACTGTTGGTGGAAAGTTAAATTACACTTTGGAAATCCCTTTGGCAGTTTGAATTTATCAACATCCTATAATCTGGCAATTTCACTTTCAGGAATTATCAGTCAAATAGAGAAAGACGTATGTATTTTTAACCCAAAGAACTGTCTTCTTCACAGTTACACTGTATTTGATAGAGCTACAAACTAGAAACAACCCAAATGTTCACCAACAGCAGAACTAGCACAAGATTGTATAGTCATATAAACCATAAATGAAATGTTATAGAACAATGAGAACGCACAAGCAATTGCTACACAGAAAGGCTAGAAACAGAAGAGTACCTATTCCATGGTTCTATATAAATTGAAAGGGCAGCTTACCTATACTGCAAGATGTTGTCGTGATAATGGTTAGTCCTAGGGAGAAGGTAAAACATTTTATGAGAAACTTCTAGATTCTGGGTCATGTTCTCTTCTTCTTCATCTGTGTAGGTATTATGTGCATATGTTCAATTTATGATAATTCATGACACCTGTACTTCTTAAATTACAATGTAAAATCAATAGAATTTTCCCTTTAAAAGTTTTTGCAAAATGTATAGCTCATAAGACTGTTATTATCTTCTAAGTTGTGAACTCTACAGATATCCAATTAGGATAGCGATACAAGATTGACAGTGTTCTTTAGGGTTAGTCATCTAGCTACCTTGGGCATTGGGCATTTTCTTTAACTTCCAGCTCTAAAATTCTATAAATTAATTCTATGACTATAACCATTTTTTTGTTGGTCATGGGGCTTGAACTCTGGGGCTGAACGCTGTCCCTCAGCTCTTCAGTTCAAGGTGAGTGCTCTATCACTTAAGCCACTGTGCAACTTCCGTTATTCTAAGTCTCATGGACTTTCCTGCCTGGGCTGGCTTAGAGCTGTGATCCTCAGATCTCAGCCTCCTGAGTAGCTAGGATTACAGGCATGAGCCACCACCGCCCGGCTAATGTGTTCATGCCACTTTAGTTTCTATAAGATCAATAAGGAAATAATGACTGTCACTCAGGAACTGAAATATTTCCTGGGGGTTTCCACATGTTAACTATCAGGTCACATGGCATAATCCTCACTTTAAGTGTTAAGTCCTCCATTAGTGCATTAGAAGCAGGACTCTTGAAAAAGGCACTGAAGAGAATGACAGCACTAATGCTTAAGGATAAGTTACGGGTGAGGCTACTGATTAACACTCATGTGGTTACAGCCCAGGGGCAGACTGTCACAGAGAAAGTGTGTGACTTGTTCCTATTTCAGACTTCAATAATACTTTAATAATACCTGTTCCTCTTTCAGACTCTGGAAGCAACTTCTTAGTGGGGACAATCATTTGATCTTACTCACCACTTGTAAATACATGGAATAATGAGAAAATGAGGTGACTAATAGAAAAAAACTGCATACACACTCAAATACAGTAATTAATCATGAACAGGTAAAGTTACAAACAAGAATTTCCTGTGTGGTTCAAACTACAGTCCTTGATCACTATTGAGTCCAAACCCTACCTATTAAACATGTTTGTAAAGGAGCTGTCATTTGTTCCTTATAAAATTGGTAAATAAGCTTCATGTTTGACAAATATTTCTTGAAATCACAGTCTTTACACTACTCAGGGGTTATAAATCCATGCAAGCTTTTGGAATAAAAAACATCAGAAATATATGATCAAAGTAAAAGCTTTATAATTTTTAGGCCTTATAATTTTTGATT